TCGATCATCCAACCTCCCCCATCCCGACACTGGAGCGAGATAAAGGGGCCAGCGGCGTGGAGTGCTTTGCGGTATATCGATTGGTCCGTCATTTAAACCTATGGAAAATGATCGATTAACAGGGCATCGTAATAAGCGATTCTTTTTCACAGCTTCCGATGGGGACGTATCGATAATCGATCATTCACGCCTCGCCACTGGAAGAGCAGGCGCTGAACCACGATTGCACTCACTCTGTGCGGAGTGTCACGGGGCGTGTGAGAAGCTGCAGGTGGAAAATTCATTCTCATGAAAGGCGCGCCCGACTGATAATGATGTATGATGACGCCGCGCCGCGCTTGACGGACACAGACGCCTGGTGCCTCAATATTGAAAAACGTCGTAAGAGCATTCGAATGTTGCCGAATTGCCTCTCAGAAAAAATTCATCCATGAAGATAATGGAGATGTTGCATGTGTGAGGAATTTGCGATTATGACTGTTGATTATTATGTAAAAGTTCGCGAGAAACACGATGGTGCCACTGGTTTTCTCTGAAATCAACTCTCAAGCTCAAAAAAAGCTCTCAAGTTGAGGCCGAAATGGAGGGGATATCCTACCCTACCCTTAAAGTCCACGTCTAAACATCAAGACAAACCCTCCATGCAAAGATAGCGAGCAAATACATTAGCAGGGTTGCCGTGTTTTCAGTTTTGGAGTCCCCAAATAAAGTGGCAACCCTGCTAATATATTTGCTCCCTATCTTTGCATGGAGAGTTTGTCTTGATGTAGACGTGGACTCTCAGGATAGTGTGGGATATTCCCTCCATTTTGGCCTCAATTTGAGAGCTTTTTTGAGCTTGGGAGTTATTTTCAGAGGAGACCAGTGGCACCATCGTGTTTCTCGTGAACTTTTACTTATGAATCAACAGTCAAATCGCAAATTCCTCACACATGCAACAATTTTCACATTTTAACAAATTTTTAGACACTTTAGATCAAATTACGAACACAATTCTCTGGAAAATCAGAAGAAAAATACTCACAAATTTCCCCAAAAATGCGTGATTTGTGAAAGGAGATTTGGCAACGTCTGAAAGGTCATACGATATTTTTCCTCAGGGCGGCAGCGTGTCACTTCGGTACGCCATTGTTGTTGCACACAGAGCTCCTGAATTTAATTCTGTGCCTAATTCTGACAGGAGTTTCAGCAGGTTGGATTTCTCTTCATGCTAAAAATGATACGGCCTGTCAAAATCGGGACACCATTATGGGGATATAATTCCGCTACGGGCAGTATCTTGTCCTGATATGGAAAAACCTGGAGAATCAATAGAAGGATGGTGCCCGACCAATAATAGACTGTTTTAGTAGCCACACTATTGTTTTAATATCGAAGATTGATAGTTCCAATGTAAACAATGACAAAATTTCAAGTCTAAATTCTATGTTGATTGGTTATAGTGCCAGTTCATTGTCATTTATAAATCATAAATTCGTTTTTGACTCATCAAACAGAGAAATTTCGATTGCACGGAATAATTTTGCACAGTTAATCACCTCGATGAAAATGCGACGGAAATTAATGTACAACCCTATATTTACATTTTACACAGCAATATGTGACGAATGATGAAGCCATCTACTCAGTCTGAAGTCGATGTATCTTGCCTTGCATAACATGATGATACATTGACTTTTACCCACCTTAACAGTGCGGTAAAATGCGTTTTTCCACCTTTGTATCGTCATAAACGTAATACAGAGTGGCCTATTGCAAAACGTGTGCATCATTTAGTGATGAATCTAATTTTCAAAAGAACATAATTTTTTTGCACCATGGCAATGGATGAATTTTATCACCATGTATTTCAAAGTTAATACTGAAGGCTGGATAAATTTAAGTTTAACGAACCCAATCTTTTACATGCATTTCTGAAGATGATGGCTAAGCCATAATGGCCCAAGACAAGTATAAGACGTCGTGAGACTTTTCATTACAAATACTCGAAAAAATCATACATTCCTGCCCCTGAGAATATTGAGAGGAAAAAAGAGGTCGCAAATCCGAATTTTTGAAGGAAGCTGTAAGGTCCGTGAAGGAGCGGTGCTAATATTCGCCTTCAAGTACCAGTGTAGATAAATTCACCTCCGGAGGATTAAAATAGCAAGTGATCTGAAAATGGAATCCTATTCAAGTAAAATCTATTCGTAAGGGTTGACCCAACGGCGCTATGTTCAGCGATTCGTAATTTCCTGCATCGATGTGAGAATATGAGTGTGTCGCGCGAATGGCTCCAAAACAGCACACATGTATACCACTAAGATAGCTGAAACGTTGAATTGGCTCGTATTACCAGATATGAGACGGTTGACTGTCACCCCTTCCCTATTTATCCCTTGTTTCTTCTCTCCACCTTCTCATCCTGTTTTCTTGAGTAAAGGGTAAATCCAAGATTTACCTAGGGTTTTACGAATCAATTTCCGAGTGGTGCCCCGCGCTCCGCATGAAGTGATAGCTTGTCTGACAACCAAAGCTGCTGTATTTGAGTCACCTTGCTTACTACTTCAGTGAACTATGAGCAGTAATTCTCCCATCCATCATCCCCCTCCCTCGGGAAATTGAGAGGCTATTCTGTCTTCCACAGCTAAAACGCAGTAACTCCACTTCAACTTCTTCAATTTTTTTCTGACAAAATACTTCTTCACAAATTTATCGGTGATCGTTTTTTCTTGATATTTTTTGAATGACCGTTTCATACTATTAAGAATCCTACACTGAATAAATAAATTTAAAAGGCTAACAGCTATTCTAGCAATGGATTTGTTTTTTGTGGAAATTATCGAGGTTCCCTAGAACTTTCGTCGTCACCTAAGCTAGAATGATCGATGTCCACATTACAGCCGTGCTAAGGAAAAACGCCGAATGAGCCCCCAGACATAGCCAAGTTTCCTTTGCTAAAATAGAATTTACTGGGGAAGTTATACATATTGTAAGCCCAATTTTTCAGACAGTATTGTTTGCAGTTTAATGTAATTTATCTGAAAATTCCAAGGGAAAATGTGTATAACTTCCTTCAAAAATAACATTCTATCGGGGAAATTTGGCAAGTCACGTATGTTCATATGGCATTTTCTCTTGACACGTCAGAATAAGTAAACGGGCGAGATCATTTGTGAATCATGAGGCCATTTTAGTTCTATTAGAGTGCAGCGAACTTTGATTAATATATTCTGCAAACGCGCAACATTGTAGTCAGATAAAATTTGGAACTTTAAAAGCTCGTAACTCCATTCATACAAAACTTTGAGGTTTTAGAAGTGGCTCCATTGATTTCCCCGTGAAATTCTTTCCAGAAACAACCATTAAAATTTAAAGTTTGATGAAATAAACATCTAAATTTGCAGTTTTAGCAAAAAATTTGATGTTCGATCTCTCTGATTGACTCGATCCACTTTGCGGCATTCGTAAGAACATTTGGGTGGAGCGCTTAAAGTTTCAGGGAAAAATGGATGGGGGTAATGTCGGTTTCATCATCCTGTAATCTACAGGGAAATGTATTCGAGGAGGCTGTTTGACAGTGAAGTTCAAAATCCTTTAATATGAAACGCACATGTGTTTTCCGTGCAGAAAGGCGGAAAACGCAGCACGCTCAGAACACCTGTATTGACAAGAGAAATGAAGTTTGTATTGAGTGGTGTCGATCATTAGTCCGGGTTTTCGCACGAAAAATTGGTTTTAAAAAAGGATTGCCAAAGTCAATGAGACGCTATTTCGCAATTTTACTTTGAGGACGGGTGGGGGGGGGGGGGGTATATAGATTTATTGATTGAACCTCAAGTTCTTCCCTAAAAATTAAAGGAATTTCGATTGTAGTAAAAATGTTATGCAGTCTTATGATATGTTCGCTTATGCATTGACCTATTATTTTACTGTGAGTCTCCCCTTCTCTCTATCATTTTAGCTTGTATCAAATGTAAGTAAAACATCAAGGTATTTAGGATTCTAAATTTGCAGTGCTTCTCCGCGATGACGGGAATTCCATGTAAAAATACCACATGGTTTAAGATTTTCTGACTTTATTATAGGAAAATTTTTCAATTTTTCTTTCCCCTCTCCTTGGCTTTGAACGAATATCTTATTTGAAACTTTTTCAGTGTTTAGAGTCCATGAATAATCCTCCCCCTGTCTGCTCTACCACCCTACCATTTCTGCCACGAATGAATTGAAATTTCCGAAATGCAGAAATTAAACTAGATATTTCTCGATGGGGAAAATAGAATACATTATTTTTCCGTGCTATTTAATATGAGAGGGAGCCTAGCAGGCCTAAGTATTATCCTCTCTTTGATTATATTTACTTTAAATTTTTCATTGATATATTGAACCTTCATATGAATTGGTAAAAATTAAATATACTCTATTGCTCATGAAACAGATTTTACTGGTTTTATTTTTCTTTGTTGTGCATTCTTCAATTCATAATTTTTGAGGACAGCTTACTTGATTGAAGTCAAATATTATTGTATAAGTAATAATAAAGTGTTTAGCTATTACTTATTACACAGGTAGTTTGTCACTGCAACTTAATGTCTAGTGACTGTAAAAAAAAAGTAAGTCAAGCTGGAGCTCAGAATTTTTGCCGTAGCTACAAATCTTATCTTCCGTGTCGGAAGTCATCAAAATTCTTTCCCGAAAATTCACATCGCAGATGTAACTTTATGCGTGTTTTATATCCGAACAAACATCAAAAGTGTCAAAATCGACAGAAATCGCGTGGATCGCAGAAAAATAAAACAAACAAACAAACAAAATTGTGCGTTTGCCAAAAAGATGAAGACACCTCGAAACATTCGGATACACTCTCGCAGAAAAGAACTATCTGCGAATAATTCGCAAAGCGGCAGGAATCATATAACACGCAAATACATTGCACATAATTCCTTTTGATTCAATCTATCAGTACATAGTACTTTTTAGCGTTCATCCAAATTGAAATTGAAGCTCTTAAAAGCTCTTACCTTTACTCCTCTTGAAAACACCTCAGTAGAAACAAATTTCAGCCGTTACCGATAGGCCCTTTTTAGAGGTGAAAAATCGATGTCATTGATCGAGTTCGAACTTATGATACTTTCGGAAGTTACGAGTCCCGCGGTAAAGGTGAAAAATGTCGGCGTGCCTCAGCGCGAGACGTGTCACAGGAGTACTGAAAGCCCCGCAACGGAATTTGAAGGGAACTGAAATAGCGCGAGACCAGGTGCTCGACACGCATGCTCCACGCCCGACGGGCGATGGCGCGGAAAACGTCCCTTCGTTCGAGAGTCGAATCGTTCCGGTGTCGTGCGCTAATCGGCTTCGGAATGGATTGAAACGAGGAAAATTGTGAAATATTAAAAAAATTTAATGAAAGTTTGCGAGGCTGTGAGGCTCGTAGAGGGCCGAGACTGCCGAGAGCGCAAAAGGCATTAAGATCTCGGGTCCCCTTGATCTTCATTTTTGACACAGTTTGATCGACCGTCATACTCTGCCGTGCTAAGGAAGAACGCCGTATGAGCACTCGAGGGTGTCAAATATCCTCGAATAAAACATGTATTCTTGAGGGAAGTTGTGCATATTTTTCCTTGAAATTTTCAGATATTTTAGATTAAATCGTGAAAAAAATTTACTGAAAAACTCTAGGAAAAATATTCACAATTTTCGCAGTAAATTCGGTTTTTCTTGAGGGAAATATGGCAACGTCTGAAGGCTCATACGGTGTTCTTCCTTAGCATGGTAGTACTGGACAGATCTCTATAATTTTTGCGGTAACCGACAGGTGATATAGTCCCTTAATAAGTCCACTTTCTTCAAATTTTGGAAAAATTACCCCGGTTTTTGTATATTACGTGATAAAGTTGTAGATTCTCCCTTTTAAACAATTTGAATTTTCATTTCTTCGGAAAAGTTAGAAAATAGTAAAAGTTAAAGAATATTTAGTAAAAGTTAGAAAATAGTAAAAGTTAAAGAATATTTCGTAAAGGTTACAATACATTTCATACATTTGCTGCGATCATAATGGATGAAACGTTAGCGGAGATTTAGAAACACCGCAACCAAGAATTGCCCTTTCTGTATCTTTTCGATCGGGTACATTTTTTAGAGCATGGTTTGGGATGCAACTATTACAACTGTTACGTAGCTACAATTGCATATCCACCGAAATGAAGGAGAATTAAGAACTCGCGGGTTTTGGATATCACGTGATAAAGTTGTGGATTCTTCCCTTTAAAATATTTAGATTTTCATTTGTTGTCACAGTTCGTTCTGAAGATCTACCGGACTGATTTTCATTACTTAACAGTAGTTGATTACTTTCATTACTTTGACGGGCTATTGATAGGAGATAGTCCCTATAGATGAACCCGCTCTATTTAGATTAACCGTACGAGGTCTCGCAAAGCCGGCCTTAAAGGGCTCGAACTCTCAAAGCGCTCTCCAAGGGTTAGGCCGCATAGTGCCTAAGGGCGTACCTCCGATTATAATAAATATATAACGTTCTATAGCGGAGACATCATGAGGTCGGAGCCTTCTTTACGCCGGTTGCGTTATAGGGAGCAGAGAGAACTCTAAAATTTGCGTGTGACACTGATTCTTTGATGATTGGAGATGGAAAATCGTAGCAATTTTCTTCCTAAAATTTATCACATTAGGGATACCGTGTGGCAAGTGGTTCAAATGACGACTCTTGTTTCCTCTCTCAGTTCTGCCCCCTAAAATATATCAGGAACGTTGAAAACCTCATAACGAATGCCCTCTTGTCTGTTCTTTATTCTCCGTACATTCTTAGTCCAGTGATTAGGAAGTTCAAATTTTTTTTCTATTTTCCGTTCCGATTCAACATTTTGGTTCATCTACCCACAATCTAGCATAAGCCACATTCCTGATAATGCAGCTGATGGACTCCAATGATTACAGCCGGTTGGTTAAATTGGCTCACGTGATCTCACGACCGGTGACGTCATCAAGGCTATAAAACCCCGAGCCGCCTGAAATTCGAAGACAACCATGTAGAAACGTTTCGGTGCGCTATACTTCGCTCTTGCGTCTGTTATATTCAACGTGACACTTCGACCGATGATATTCTAAATTTCGCGTTTATAAAGTTACGTTCTTACATTTTATCATGTTTACATGTGCCCTTCCCACTTTCCACTATTTTTGGATCCGAAAGTACCGTGATTGGAATGGCATGCGCCCATATTGCAGGGTTACGGTTTCCATGTCTTTTTTCAGTTATCGTTTATTAAGTCACCGAGGTCAATAAACTATAACTAAGAGAAAGCAGTAACATTTTAATTATAAAATTAGCTTTCTGCAAAACGGTTGCCCAGAAATCTGAATTATTTGATATTTACGCTGATTTTGTCTTTATCCACGATGTTGGTGCCGTCGTTCGTGGAAAAATGTAGACTATATAGGGATCAAAGGAGTAGTTGTGATCGTGATGTAGTTGTGTTGTTGTGGAGCGGTTTTGTAGTACCATAGAAATAAAATGCTGCTGAGAGCAGCAAATACAGCAAATAAGGAATGAATAATGCAATGAAGAAGTAGATGCTTGGCAGCTAAGAAAAATCAAAGAAGGACTAAATATCGTGACGTACTTTTGGCGGTTCATGTGCAGCTCTTGCGAAATTCACTTTGTGGTAACATAAGAGCACAGAATCGTAAACTCATAACTACCAATCAAAGGTATTAGCAGAACTCAACAAAACCAGCACGGTAATTCATTGTAGTATGTTGTTTGATCTAATCGAGACATTTCTTTAAACATTGTGCAAATTGTATTGTGATTTTATTTGCAGGAACACGGAAAAAGAAATAAATAAATAACCCCTTAAATAAGTTGTATGTTTCTCTTATTTTCTCATTGACGTCTATTTTAAGCTAAACTGGAAAGATTCATTAATCGACCTAAAATTTGAGCTCCAATGATTTTTGAAACAAGCTCTATCTGTTGGGCCTGGTTTTAAGCATCATGTATTGCAATTCCGTCTGCGTGAGAATTGACAAAGGTATTTTACAAGACATTTTTTGCAGCCACAGAGCGCCAGAAAGCGCTGTGAAAGCGGTTTTTATGCACGTATGTAATTTTTAAGCACCCCGTTTTTTTTTTTTTTTTTTTTTTTTTTTTTTTTTTAAATTTATTGACTTAGCCTCCTTGCGCCGGAATAATGCATATGTTTTTACAATAGCTGACTTAAGACTAAAGAACTTAAGGCTAGGACCAATTTTCTATTATGAGTACATTTCAACTGGAGACCAACGATATGTCTATCAGCCGTAAAATTTCCTACCAAAACCAGTATCATTCAGGCTCTGAAAAAAAGTAGTTCAGTCATTAATTTCCAAAATATTATTTGCAGCCTTACATTGACTGGAAGTTAAATTTAATGAAGGGTAGGTAATAGATTCGTGTCTGAGTGAGGTGCACTGCACTTAAATAATTGGGCAGTGCACTGTGCAGCCATTAATGTGGCGCCGCGCTGCGGTCATTCAAGATCCAGTTTTACGCGCATCTACCGTTCCGTTCATGAATGAAAGAGCTTGTGAATGAAAGTTTGCACGGCCATGCAGGCGCCATGCTGCCCTGCGCCGCGAATGACTATTCAAGTTACAATGTACCCCGTCAGTTTTAGTCTGAACGGCGCGGCGTCGCTCGACGAACCCTGCATAGATCTTATAAAAATGGATAATAGCAAACTCACTAACGCGGTCATAGTCAATGTTAAAGCTTCAAAAATTTTATACGGGTCTTATGGCAGAAGTTGCAACTGCAAGCGGGAAGTGAGGGGGGAGGAGCGGTAAAATTCGCAAGAGATATAGGAAATAATTAAATCAGTGAGAACGAAAACACACCAACTCGAAAAAATGAAAATAATCAAGACACTTACAAAACAGCACAAAGGGTGAAGAAGTTAGCATAAAAAAAAGATTTTTGGTGCCGAAGGACAAGCACCTAAGGGCATTTTAAAAGTATAAGCTGGGGCAGATGCGCTAACCTCAATGACCTCGATGAAAATTGACTGATTTTAATGAAAATTGAGCATTTTCGAGTTACTGATTTGGTGTATGTTTTCGTTCTCACTGATTCAATCTGAGACCGGGCCGTACGGCTGAACCGAGTCTGACAGCATGGCACCAACGAGTCACATCAAGCAATGATTATTCTTCTACATTGGAGAGTGAAATCAGCGTTGTGATTTACATCAGCATGTGTAGATCCAGATTTTTCGCTCGAATGAAAAACAAAGTCAATGCATAGGTCGAATCGCAAAATTGAAAACGATCTAATTCGTTTGAGAAATTGACGGTAATTATCTTAGGGGTAGTTTACCCCTACTGTGTATAATACAACGAACTTAAATTTTTTATAAATATAAATCACACAGTTTTAATTATTATGAATGTACTGAAATTAGTCAACACCCGATTCGTCTTGAATTGGCTTTGTCTCTTTTGAAAGCGAGACGTTTTGATTGAGAAAATGTATATACGTTAAATATGTAAACGCTTTATCTCAATGATTAATTGAATTTGCCAATATAGAATGCGCCCATCGTAAGCTACCTTAAATTCTGATTCGATAACACGGATTGGGTTGCTTATCCTTATACCTCGTGCATGGATCCGTTTAATGTTCTTATTTTTATACTGAAGAATTCTCGGTAAAATTAAGGCATTGGGTGCAGAATGGACATTTCTTGAGTACGGTGTTACAGAATCTGTAGTGCTAAATTACATTTTAGAGAGAAAACTCTAGGGTAAATTTTCTGAAATGTTACATTTTCAGCATTGTAAAAGCATAAATAATAATTAGTAGAGGTTACAACACATATTGCATACATTTGCTTCAATCATAATGGATGAAACGATAGCGGAGATTTGGAAACACCGCAACCAAGAAATGCCTTTTCTGCATCATTTCAATTAAATTTCTCAGAGCAGGAGTTGGGATGCGACTGTTTCAACTTTTACGTAGCTGAAATAGTATACTCACCGAAATGAAGGAGAATTAAAAGCTCACAGGTATATATCAGAGAAATTCACATGAACGATCAAATAAATTTTAGGACGTATAATTTCTACAGCATATTTATTTTAAGCAATTGTACAGACCAAACAGAAAATTCTGTCAATCATCAAAATATTTGGTATTATGATTCAGAAAACCAAATCTACAACCTCAGCAACCCTGAATCAACCCACGCCGTGTTCAATAATCGCAGAGTTGAATATACCTATACAAATAGCCGGGAGTCCGGTGCCATACTCAGATAATGCGAAATATCGAGGCATGGCATTGGATCTCAAGTTTACCTGGAAGAAACACCAAAAGACAACAACTAAATCTAAAATTCTCAAAAATGTACTGGTTGCTGGGTAGGAATCCAGCCTTTTCAACTTCCAACAAAGTTTTAATCTACAAGCATGTCCTTCAGCCAGTCTGGTCGTATGGATGTGAACACTGGGGGTGTGCCAAGAAGTCCAATAGGTATCTTATTGAGGCCTTTTAGGCCAAGGTACTTGGGGTGATCTCGGGGGCTCCCTGGTTTGTTATACAAATGAACAAATTAGACACGACCTTCAAATGAAGTCGGTTCAAGAGTACATTAAGAAGGGCAGCAGGGAGACATGCTCCGAGGTAGAGTGTACACTCTGACCCTCTCACAGATGGACTAACAGAGGAACCCCTGAATAGGTGACTGAAGAGGCAAAAGCCTTGTGACCATGGTCGCTGGGGCATCCACCTAAAACAAACCTCCGCTCAAATAGCAATTAGAAAATAAGATCCAACCGGTTATGGGGGGTTGGCAACGTAGCATCGGATTAAGGGGAAAAAGATAGGTGGTGACTCACAAGTCCAGAAATTTCGCCCGATAAATTGCGTGAGCAAGATATGCGAACACATACTGGCCGGAAGGATTTTGGAGGGACTGGGGCTCTCCCCAAATCAGTTTGGATTCCGTAAAGGATACTCTAGTATTAAAGCCTTACGCAGACTAAAAATGAATTGAGCAAGAGAGACCCGGTACACAGAAGAGAACTAATGTGCGTACTTGGCACCCTAAGGTTTCAACCTGGAAAATGTTTTAACATGGAATGTCACATAACAACTGTCTGTTAAAAAGCGAGGAGAGTGGCCAGAGGTTACAAATGTTTGCTACCTAATGTCAGAGGTCCTTCCTTCTTTAGGAAAAAATTGATAATAAATGCAATACTCTCAATTATTTTCTATGGGATTCAGATCTGGCATGAAGGTATGAAGCTACAAAAGAACGTCAAAATTGTCAGACAAACACTGAGGCCTCTTAAGTTATCTCTTTGCAGCGGGTATCGGACGTGCTCTGATTTTGCCTGTGCTTATGGAGGTCTTCAATTGTAGATCCCTGGAGAGGGGTGATAAAAAGAGGTAATAAAGGGCAAGATACCTTTTTCAATATTTTAGAGTGTAGATTAATGCAGTACACGCACGGACACGTGAACTTCCACACCACACAATTTCTCACTGGACGCGGAACGGCTCGACTTTCGGGGCTCCGGTCAATACCAGGCACATGCTCACAGGAATCGGCTGGGATCTACAAATACGAGGAACACTGTCTAAATATACTAGCTCACTCTGTCAAGTGGCAATACTATGGAACAGCATGAAAGATCAGTACTCTGAGAAAGTGAGAGTTTCCGTGGAAAGAGGGTTTGATTTTGTTCCGAATATAAAGAAAATATCTGAATTCATCGAAAAAAAAAAAACAACATTAGTAGCAGATCTCTAGAGAGGGGTGATAAAAAGAGGTAATAAAGGGCAAGATAACTTATTCAATATTTGAGAGAGTAGATGAATGCAGTACACGGACACGTGAACTTCCACACCACACAATTACTCACAGGACATGGATTTTTTGGACCGACAAAAGTCAATTTTATTATTACCAATTCTTCCATCACTCCAACCGTGGATGGAGAGAACGCACGGAGATACGGATTTTTACTTGTCACAATTCTTTTCAGGCCACGGATGTATCAACAACTCTTCACAGATTTAAGCTAATCCCCTCCCCGATTTGTGCTTTTCCCTTTTCCCACTATTTTTGGGTCCAAAAGTACCGTGATTGGAATGGCATGCGCCCATATTAGCAGGGTGACGGTTCCCATGTCCTCTTTCAGTTAGTATATTAAGTCACAGAGGTCAATAAACTATAAATATCAGAGAAAGCAGTAACATTTTAATTATAAAATTATAGCTTTCTGCAAAATGGTTGCCCAGAAATCTGAATTATGGTTATCTCTTTTTTCGAATCTGAAGGTTCTCTCTCCAGTAAGAGCCTCTTACAAAGACCCCTGAAACGCAGAATTTGTTCTGCCTATATTAGCCATTCAAATTTTGACAGCAGGTATCCTGTCCTACTCAAAGTGCATACCCACCGAAATGAAGGAGCATTAAAAACTCACAGCTCCTAGAGAAATTCAATATGATATTGAGACCAATCATGACTTACGGTTGTTAGCTGTGGGGAACAGCAGCAAAAACTAACATCCAGAAAATGTATAGGAGGCATGGACAAATTGATTTCTTTTTGTCTCGATTCCTATCGGGACACGGAGTCTTCGGAAACTTTTTGCACAGATTCAAGAAAAGCTCAACCCCGCACTGCCCACACTACTTAACAGAAAAAGACACACCAGACCATACATTTTACAACTGCATTCAAATACAAAAAGCAAAACGAGAAATGGAAATAACGAATTCCACCAAATCAACAGAAGGAATAATTAAAATGCCAACACTATTTAATAATTTCTAAATGTTCCTATTGTTGCAAACTTCCATTTTATGAAGACATATTAAACATCAATTGCCAGCACCAACAGGTACAATTGGACGTATTTCTACCAAACAGACCTATGTGGCGATGAGAAATGTGGGGTGTGCTCTTGGAAGCTGCATAAGAAGCAATGTAAAAGTGGGCGTGGTTCCTTTTGAAGAATTGGCAAAGCGGGATATTGCATTCTATCAAACAGACCTATGCAGGGTGGCAAAATTTCATGAAATTTAAAATCGTGAAATTTCACGTGAAATATTTCCGGAAATTTCCGAAATTTATGAAATTTATGAAAAATTGAAGTAAAATTGCTCGAAATTGATCATTATGATGTAAAACTGTCAGAATGCCTCTTAATGCCTGTTTTTATAACCAACAACTATTTTATTCACTTTGTTTGGAATGTAGGGAATCATTTTTTTTTCTGGCTCTAATATGGGTACGTTGGCAGACAGGGAGACTCCATAGCTGCCTCTAGGACTGTTAGAGGGTAAAGGATATGACAGCAAGGCTCAATGGCACACCGACACTAAGTGGATTGCACTTTGCAAGAAGGAACCAAGAGCATTCCAATGTTGCTAAGATTGTGCAACTTTATTTGCCTTGCAAATAAACACAGATTATCTAAACTAATTTTATCTTTACTCCCAGGAAACTATAACTTAAAGACGAAAATTACCTTTGTAAATTTAATTTTTTCCATGATTTCAGTAATATTATTGAATGAATATAAGATACACAATCTTAACAACATTGGAATGCTCTTGGTTCCTTTTTGCAAAATGCAATCCAAGTTCCCTCATTTTTTTGGAGAATCTTAAATAAAATAAATTCGAGTACATTATTTTTAGAGCGAATTTGTGAGAAACATGATTTTGCAACGTCTGAATTGAAGTTTAAACAAACAAGTTTGAGGTTAGGTTTTCAGTCTAGACTGGAAGAGGGAGGGTCAGGGGGGTATACATTCCATGCTTGTAGCAGTTGTAGCCCTATAAGAGAAAAAGTAATAATGAAGCAAAGGGGCTCTACAATGATTATGAATGATGCAGAATCCGTTCACAAACTTATAAATTGATTTTTGTTTCATTATAAACGATAAAATTAGTAAATTTCGTAAATTTCATAAATTTCACAGGCTCGTGAAATTTCATGAAATGTTTCACGGAAATTTCCAATCTTTCATAAGTTTCTTACCTTACATGCCACCCTGGACCTATGTGCAACTGAATGCGGAACTCATGAGCCGCGGGCATGGCAAGAGAGCGTTGTGGACAGGGCTCATGAGTTAATGACCACGACTACCGCAACCACGAGGGACGTGACGCGACGTCCTCCTCCGTTGACGTCACTGGCGCTTTATTATCCTCATTCACTCTTACGGCCAGAGACTAACGAGCACACCCCATATTTCTCACTTCCACATAGGTCTGTTTGGTAGAACTACGTCCAATTTCGCCGCAACTTTTGTAAGAAAAAAACGCTACCAACTCTCTAAATCAAAATTAAAGGAAAAACATACGAAGTATATCCAAAGATGCCACATGTCCATAGACAATCCACAAATTACAGCAATAACTCACTGTCCACACCAATGCATCAGTAGAATCTACCAAAAAACCTTACTGGTGGGACAGAGAGATCGGGAAGACAAAGAGAAAATGCGATAAAAGTATAGCCGGAAAGGAATGAAACTACGAAAGATGATTGAAGATACGAAACAAGAAGATATACAATAGGTAGAATTGAAGAGAGAATTTCAAAGGAAAATTGCGGTATCTAAGAATGAATCTTGCAATGATATAATTAACGATCTTGACTGAGATATTTGGGGAAAAACTTACAAAATATTCAGATATAAATTAAAAAGACCGTCAGGACATTATACAAACACATTGACTAAACAAGAACTTGCGATTGACAAACTTTTTCCAGACTACGGATATGTTAAATAGAAACAAATACCGATCCCCGCAGAAAACATACCGCTGATAACGAGTGAAGAACTACAACAGGCAATAAAAAAACAGAAAAACTACAAAGCACCTGGTCGTGTGCAGTCCAATTCTCGAGGTCCATTCCATCTTGACCCCGACCCGGTCTGGGTGCCTCTCCATCCCTCATAGCACAAGCACGTCCCATCTCTAGTGTGACTAATCTTGTGAAACTTGTAAAACTCTCTTCTTCAAAATTCTCTAATACAAATTTTTGGCCTCTTAAACGTTCGTTCCTTCAATCAGCTCTCCCAAATTCAGCTCTCCTTCCAATTTTCAACATTTTCTTCATTAATATTTATTTTTTATTCAAATCCAAGTCTAAACTACAACAACCGCAAAAAATAAACTTTCTCTCTTTTTTCAACGTCAACATGTTAGTCCTGCATTTTTACAACCTCTCGGAGAGTGCCTGTTTGTCACACGGTACTAAAAACATGCGAGCGAGACTCCGCAGGAAAATGGTGACAATCAGGAGACCGGACCAGGAACCAAGTGTAGTGTCTTTGCATTTGAAATAATTTTACTCCCACACAGATAACTCACAGAATAGTTCCTTGTCCTGGTAACACTCAGACCAATTACAATAGTCGCTGGCATGGAAGCGTTATCCTTGGAACTTTTATACTTCAAAGCTTTCTCTCTCAGCGCATCGATGAGTTTACGACCTGTCGGTTGATGCGAAAGTGACTTCTCTGTAGTGGTCGTCACAGCCACAGACTTCTCAAGTAGCTGTTGATGATTATAGGCTAAAACCTGCTTTAATACTTCCGGTGCTGACGATCTATCGTATCGAACTCCAAGGATGATAACAACCCCGTCTTTTTTTCTCGTCAGTGTAACATCCCTTGTAGATCCCTCCATCGTATAGTCCATTTTCACTTCCCTGAAGGCCCTTTCAATAATCGTGGGGAAAATAAAAAGTGGTGCCTGGAGCTCTGCCTCATTCCTGGGGAAATTCCTTTCAAAAATCCGCGCCGTGCAGTTGAGGAAGGCCCTAAAATGAGCCTCATCTCCGGTCAAATTCAGCAGTGCTTCAACGTAGTCTTTCACCACCCGCCCGCTGATGTTGAACTTCTTCCGGAAGAACATCTCCTGGTATAAGAGCTTCTGCAGAGCCTCCTTCATCTCGAGGTTGGGGGAGGAAACCCCGATTATGAAATTTTCGGACACTCCTGTAGGGGTGAGGTAGCCGTTTTCTAGCAAGAACTGTACCATTAAGTCGTTGTCCGTCGGGCTGTATTTGTAGTAGGGAGCAAAAAGCCCCCGGAATTTAAGCGAGTTGAGACGCATATACCTCTTGTCCAGAGCAGCGGGGAGCCCTGTGCTCAAGGCCCCTTCCAAAAATGCCCCGAAAAGGTCGTAGTCAAATAGTTCGCGTAGTTGTTCCATAACGGGCGGGGTTCTCCAATAGCGTTTGAATTTTCCCTTCTTGAAAAAAGTCATCACGGAACGAGTATTGAAATGTCTCTTCATGCTCCCTGTAAATTACCAGAATATTAGATTTGTCAGTTAAGAACAAGACACAATTAATACAGTGGCGTGACTCAAACTTGTTTAGGAGTTGAAGAGAATCTCGGAAGCGAGGGGATCCAAAAGTTTAAGCTCCGACATTTTTAGTGCAACTTCATTGTTTGGTCGTCCGCGAAAACGTGTGCAGAAGAGTTTTAAATCGACATTTTTATAAATTTTACAACTTTGTATGAGGTCTTCTAACCCCAGTCTTCCGTACCCGGGCTCGGGCAGTCTTGACATGTATGTCGGTTGTAGTGCAAATCGGAGGAGAGAAAACCAAAAGGAGAATAAGTTAAAGATGAAGAAGAAGAGGGAGAGGGAGAAGGAATATAGGAGGAAGAAGAAAAGGGAGTGGACGGTGAAAAATTAAGAAAAAAGAAAGAAGAATTTCTTTTCCATTGTCTTTCTCTTCCTCTTTTTCCGCATCTTTCTCTCTTTCCTCTTTCTCTCTTTCCTCTTCTTCTCTTTCTCTTTTTCTTCTTTCTCTTTTTATTTTTCTTCTTTCTTTTTCCCTTTTTTTCTTTTCACGCATACTTTCTCTTCTTCTTCTTTCTTTTTCTCTTTCCCTTCCTCTTTTTCTTCTTCTTCTTTCTTTTTCTTTTTCTCTCTCTCTTTTTCTTCTTAGCTTCTTTCTCTTTCTCTTTTTCTTCCTCTTTTTCTTTCTTTCTCTCTCTCTCTCTTTTTTTTATCTTTACCTCCGACACATTCGAGACTCCTAGACCAGAGTTCGCCAGAATAGGCAGGCTAATAAAGATTTCGAAAATACCACCAACCTTGAGCCCGATACCCGCCGTACCAAAGCGCGAGTCTCTCCAAGTGATGGAGCTGCCCTCGACTCATGGCGATATCCCGGAGCTCGGTTTCGGTGAGGCCGAAGAACGGGGCGAGATCAGGCTCGTCGAGAGCGGAGGCGGCCGTGAGGTTGGCGTAGACGACGGTGCTCCCTATCCGCGTGACGCCCATCGACAGGGAGTGGCTCACGAACTCGTCACCCTCCAGCAGGGCCGTCAAGAAGCGACCCACCACGTCCAGGATCCGCTTGTCCGTCGAGGTGCCCGGCATCCCAGGGTACGAGCAGCCCGGTTGGAGGGTCCGCGTTCCGGGTGCGTCGAACCCGTCGATCAGCACCACGCACTTGCGCTCGAAGTGCCAGGATAGGTACCTAGACATGGAGACACGAGCTGTAAAAAAATTCTGTCTTATAGGTAGATCCTATACGGAATTAGAATGGTATGACCTCTGGACATATCGATGGTGAAACCTCTAAACCACGCATCTCGTTTCCGGTGTTTAAAAATTCCAGTCCTGTTTGGGTTCTTTTAAGGGGAGAACAAATCAACATCATTCCTTGGAGTTTCCTTACAGATTGTTTCAGCACAGAGAAGGAAAATCATGGAAGTTGTTTAGAATTGACGGTGAGTAGTTTTCCGTTCATGGAATAAAGTTTGACAAGAACGAGGTATTTCACCGAAACTAGTCTGCAAGAATACTATGTGAAAAAATGAAGCTCACTTTTTCCTCTCAATGTGTAAAATTGATTGGTGTCATGAAGTGAACGGTGTCCAAAAGTGAACATTCCGAAAGTGCAACCCTCAAAAATAAAAAATGCATAGCCTTACAGCGCAGACGGGGAGTGTTGAAACTCACTCCAAAAGCGCAATTCGCCTTAATTGGGAATGTATGCGAGGAACTTAAAGCCGGCTGAGAGAATTGTTCTTTACACATTTCGCATTTAAGCGTCGCATCGAAAGTATTTTTCTAAATGGAGGAAAAATCCCACCAAAAGCCGACTCGTTAATTTAGATAAAAGGCAACTCTACGAATCTTTCTCAAATACCTTTTTTTAGCGGCTCTGGTGCTTGCACTAGAGCTGCTATTCCGGACGGTCCCAGCTGGGGAGTATCAATGCAGCATGTTACATTGTAGAGACCGCGCGTTGGTTGATGGGAATCGGCGCCATTTTCGGCTATGTTCCTTGTCATGACTTTATTTTATTGCATACTGTTTTATTGTTAGTCAATGCTATGTTGTGTATTGTATTTTTGGAATCATGGTGATACAGTCAACAATTCAAAACTTGTTTGTGCTTTTATCTCGTGATGGAAAAAATGTACTTTACGTTCAAAATTTGAAAATTTGAATTTTAAAGTTTTCGCGGTTAAGGAAGCTTTAACCACTGGGTTGGAGCTTCCTAGTCATATTACTTGATATCAGCTGATAGCAAACAAAGGTTACCAGGGAAACCGTAAACGTCTAACAACTATCGTGGCCATTGGGGCGATTATTGAAATGATATCGACTGTATGTCGCCGCTTACGACAGGACATAGCCCTATCTTAACTGTGTAATATATCGCAATTCGATATTGTTTTGATTTTTAAAAGGAGCAATTCATTCATACAGTTCCGATTAGTTTTGGCGAACGGGCCCTTAACCTACGGCACTCGGCTCATGGGAATTTTTTAACTTGTCCTGGACGGACTCGTCTGTAGCGCCTCGTTCTTCGTTGTGTGTGTGATTTCGTGAAGAAGTTTCTATGGCAATTTGCTTTTATTTGTGAGCTATTTCTTCCATTCCGGGAACATATTTATTGAAAACGGCGACTTTTTCAACAGTCCTATTTTTATCTACAACATCTAAGTGGCCCTTCATAATCATTTAATTTTGGCCCCTGGCCAGAAAAAGGTTCGGAAATTGCAGTGATTTTGCCGAAAATGCTGAAGTAAGTAAATTTGGGCATTTTTTTTCCTTCTTCAAACTCTGTGGAGAAGCACTTCTCCTCCAGTACATCTATTTTTTTACTTATCTCTCGCAAGGTACATTTACAGAAGGTGTGTTCCAGTATTAACAGTTCAGATTCGTGGTTTTTTTATTATAACGCTTATTTCGGAAAGCAATTATTACATTGTTCAATTCTACTGACTTTCAACACTCGATTATACTCCCGGCAAATTCTGCAGCAGCGTTTCAAATGTTGACTCTAATGCTTCCAACAGCCATCCGATGTCTAAGGGTTTATCCCTAGATTTAGGGATTTTCCGGAATTTCCAGGGATTTAGGGATTTTTCAGGAAATCTAGGGATTTTTTTTTGATGAGGTAAAGTTACCAAAAATCAACTTTTTAACCTCAATTCTAGCTTCGACAATCGAAAACATTTTTTCATCTATATTTTGTAGGCCTTTTTGGCAACACTATTTTCCCCGCAAATAAGCCGGAAATTAAAACGATTGCGTCCTTCGATGTACTTGACATTCAACTGCATTCAACCTGTTAATAATAAGAAATCAACTAATATTCTTTCATTTTATTGGTCTGGATTAGCACTGCTTTCAGAGAGCGCCAAAATTCAAACGAGCCAATCAGATTTAAATATTGCAAATCGCTACATCGAATGACATCATGATTCTTCGTTAAAAATGGCGCTTTTTGCAAAATCTAGGGATTTTTTAAGTATATTTGAGCAAATCTGGGGATTTAGGGATTTTTAGCGAAATCTAGGCATTTTTTTTCTTCCCCGCTAGGGATTTAATATCGGAAGACTGGCTTCCAGTATCGTAGCGTTGATCGTCGCTGATGTCGAAATGGAACCTAATGCCGGACTTACTGTAACACCTCCATTCCTCAATTCCGGTGAGGAATACGTCTCTACCCTTAACTCAATATAAATATACAAATTGATAAGTGAGTGCTTTAGTCTCCTGAAAACAGAATTGCGAAACTTAAAATTGGAGAAAAATGATGAGTAAATGAAAAAATGGAACCAATTGATGGGATATGTCGCATGCCATTCTGACACAAAATATGGCGTCTATCGAATCACCTTAACTAAATAAAATAACCAAATTTTCAACTCTCAAACTATCAACTATCAACTATCAAATTTCAAACTATCAAAATTTCCAACAATGACAAAAATGATTGTAATATACCTATAATGTAATGAAATATACACGCTCTAATCATTTAATTTGTATTACCTTTATGTTATGTACCTACATGTTATACTATTTTTATAATAAATTTTGCCAACATGCTTTTCAATTCAGTCTACAACATTTCATTCCGACGTGGCAATAATGATTTATAATGCCCCTAATCCATTAAAATGAATTACAATAGTAATGCCGCATTATAATGTCGTATTATACATCGCAACGATTCATGTCCTACTGATTATTGATTATTGTAAGATGAATTCTGTTTTCTCTGATTGTATGTTTCATACGTGCGAAGCAAGTACGGGTCACTAGAAACGTGGTTCGTACGGGTGGCTGATGAAATTGATCTTCGAATACCTTTTGATGAGCTAGGGAAATGGAACCATCTGCATCTCATGGACAATAAATAGTTGCCGTAATTAAGGTCATCCCGTGATTAAGGTGCCGTGATTTAAGTCATAAATTCTTCATCTAATTCTTGATTCATCTCCAAAATGTCTGCTAAAGCTTTCATGCGCTTCTCCTTGTATGCATGAATGAGCAAATTGGGTATCGAACAAGCGGACACTTTTTGAAAATTTAGATGATTCTGGACAATATCGTACAGAAGTCCACGAGCTGCAGATAGAACCATTACCTCTAGCTCATCAAAAGTTATTCGAAGATCATTCAACAACCTCTTTGACAAGTTGCAAAAACTTTTCGTTAACAATAGTGTCACACGGTACTAGGAATATTTACTATTTAACGAACCTTATATTTCCCTGACTCAGTCCTAAATTATAGAAGTATGCGTTACTTTTCCAGCAATCCAAAAAAACAATTATACAAAAAACCAATACCTACACTTTCAGATATAAAAATGCAAATTTTTTGCAGCCTCGCTAAACGACTTATCAACCAGAGATTTTTTAGGAAGCGGACCTCCAAAGAGCTTTCAAAATTAAAAGTATACAACAAGTGATAATGCCATGTATTCGCCATATCAAAGCCCAATACACATTTATACACCGGCTACGTAAATCTGCTAAGTTACAAAACATGAATCGACAGTTGTCGGATTGTACATCAATGACAAAATGTGTCTAGGCCCTCATTCTTGACTACAACTACTGCCCCCAGAGCCGCTCTCCGACGCCAATGCGTTGGAGCTTCCTGCTTGTTTACAATTTCGGGGACTGGCAACGTTGTATTATATTGAAACAAGCAAAGCATTATTCGGAAAATTGACGATTTACCATAAAAGCTAGTAATAGTTACTTCGTCGGCGCGATGGGCATCGCTAGGTGTTACGTGGTACAGAAATAAGCAAAGCATCCTCAATTAGTATCACATGCAACGCGAACACAAAGCGAATTTCGTTATAACGCCTGAATGCAACTATTCGAGCTCTGCGGATGTCCGTTTTGCATACGCACGGATCTGAAGGCGTTTTGGCTCTCCACAGGCACTCGCCGCTTCACCCTCTGCGTAGCGCAACGCAACGGCGCGGTGGGTTGTACAGCGAGGATTCGTATTGACCGAGTGTCTCCTCAATACGTTTACACTACGAAGATATGTCGTAGGCACGAATAGTTAATCTACAAGTATTAGCACAGCTCTAAATTAAGACTGAAAATCAAAATATTCTCACATCCTACGGATGTGTGCAACTATTCGCGCGTAGTGGATTTCTTTCTCAGCAGTGAAAACGAAGAATTGAAGGCACTCTGTCTTTTTAGACCCTCGCTACACAAACCGCCGCGCCGTCCAGCTGATTCCGACGCTTGATGTATTTTTTTGTTGTTTTTTTTGGGGGGGGGGGACGGCAAAATTAAGATGCTCAAAAACAACTGGAGATCACGTGTGGAGAGTTGAGAGTTGCCGAATAATTTTTAGAAAATTTTAAAATTTTTTACCTAGACTGGGCATCATAAAAGGAATGAAACTTAGTGGAAGCTGACCTGGTCATCCTGCGACCCATGAGTATGAAATGCTCAGGATTAAAATTAGACTGGAAGAGTAACTTAAAGCAGCTGTAGTACTCCTGAGGAGCCCTCGAGGCTAAGATTCGACTTCTAAGCAGATACTTGTATTTGAGGAGCATGCGGACGATCATATCCCGGAAGGTCCGACCGAACACCAAGTAGCTCGAATGGCAGGCTAGATGTTTCAGGTTCAAATAAAGGACGGGGTGTTGCGCAAAATGACGATCATAGAATTCTTCCTCCCGCCGAATCTTGACTCTCTCGAAGAAGGGTACATTTTGAGTGGTGTTAGGTTGAATTATGGTCCCATTCCGGTCTGCCTAAAACAAATCTATATTTCAAATTTTTGAAAAACAGCGCACAGTTAGAGGGGTTCAACTACAATCAACTTAATTTCATTCCGCGTAGTCAAGAGCATTCCAATGTCGCTAACCTTGCAAACATAAACGATCATCTAAACTAGTTTCACCTCTACTCCCAATAAACTATGAATTCAAGACGAAAATTACCGTCGCAAAGTTTACTTTTTGCAAAGAATGTGCCTAAGTTGCACAATCCTAGCAACATTGAAATGCTCTTAGTTCCTTTTTGCAAAATGCGATCCAATTGGTTGTTGCTGCAAAAAAATAGTTTCCCACAACCTGCTATACAATGCTCCAGTGACCATGTAAGTTGGCCCGAGCACTAACTTTTCGGGAAGAAATCCTTTCCTCTACCTGGTTTCTTACTTAATATCCGCCCGAGTTTCGCATATTTTCCGTTTCTCCTCATCGCAGCTTCCGTCAAACCGCAATTGCCCGGAAACTAGGACCGCACATCTTATCTGATAAAATCGTTCGCCCTTTAGACCGATTCTGTGGGGTTAGGCTAGATTAGTCGATGAGTCAACTGTTGATCTAATTTCATTACGTGAACGTAGAAGAAAAACGGGGTAAAAAATCACTAATGTGTGATCAATTTTCAAGGACAATTCTGTAATTTCTCCTACGATTTTAAATAGATTAAAACGCGAAATATCGAAAATCTAAGCTCAGATTCGGATTCCTCGTGAAAAATTGATGAGATTTTATACATTATAAGTTAGAACAGCGTGAAAGAAAGAGGTTTAATGACGTAAAAAAACACTAATGTGTGATCAATTTTCAAGGACAATTCTGTAAATTCTCTTACGATTTTAAATAGATTAAAACGCGTAATATCCAAAATCGAAGCTCAGATTCGGATTCCTCGTGAAAAATTGATGAGATTTCATATATCATATATTAAAATAGCGTGAAGGAAAAAGGTCTAACGACGCGTATAAATTCTGTCGTGCTTCTCTTTGAACTACGCCGCCGCGCCCGAGATGCAACCGAACGGGGAGGCGCCAGGAGGCGCCAGCGCTGAGCGTTCAGTTTCGTCCCGAGGAATTCGTCACGATAAATTCTTCTTCTTCCTCCTCCGCTGACCCACTGAGCACTACCCATGTTGCCACGTTGAATTCATATGCTCGAATCAGTATGTCTACGTTATGTCTCTTTCCTTCACGCTATGCTCGGGTATGATACATGAAATTGTATCAATTTTTAACGAGGAATCCGAATCTGAACTTCGATTTTGGGTATCACGCATTTTAAGTCAAACCTTCCAAATTCGAAAATCTGAAATGACTGACGTGGCTTAAAATGCCATCTCGGCTCCTGTTTGATGGATTCTCCTGAAATTCGGTGTCAGGGTATGATACATGAAATCGCATCGATTTTTTACGAGGAATCCGAATCTGAGCTTCGATTTTGGGGATCACGCGTTTTAAATCAAAATCTGTCAAAATTCAAAAAATTCAAAATTCCAAAATCCGAAATGGCTTAAAATGCTATCTCGGCCCCTGTTCGATGGATTTTTCTGAAATTCGGTGTCAGAAGGTATTTTTCGACAGGAAACTCGAATTTTTAGTCCATTTTTTAAAATTCTCAAATTCAAGATGGCGGACGTGGGCTAAAATGCCATCTCGGTTTCTGTTTGTTGGAGTCTTGTGAAACGCGGTGTCACACGGTATTTTTCAACGGAAAACTCGAATTTTTAGTCAACTTTTTAAAATTCTCAACTCCAAAATGTTGGATGTGGCCTAAAATGAGCCCCAGTTCTGGCCTCCGTTTCTGTTCGTTAGAGCTTTGTGAACCGCGGGATCAGGGGTACTTTTCGACGGGAAACTCGAATTTTTAGTCGATTTTTGAAAATTCTCAAATCCAAGATGGCGGACGGGACCTAAAAAGCTATGTCGGCTCCTGTTCGATGGATTTTTTTTGAAACTCGGTGTCTGAGGGTATTTTCGACCGGAAACTCGAATTTTTACTATTTTTAAAAATTCTCAAATCCAAGATGGCGGACGTGGCCTAAAATGCTATGTCGGCTCCTGTTCGATGGATTTATGGCACCCCTTACTACATGCCTACTCTTGTATTTCTGTACAGCCGCAAATTTAGGGTCAAGGGTTGCCTGACCGTCTATGGACCAGGTGGAGTTTTTGTCCTGAAAATTTACCTTTAGATGGCAATTCTCTTTATATTTTGTCTATGGTTTTTATGCCCCCCCCCCTTTCTCGCGGACTCTCTTTTCACTTTTCTTGCCTCCTTTTTCCTTCCATTTCCCCCCTTATGCTTTCACTGCCCAACCTTGTTTCCTTTTCCTTTTTTCCCCTTGTCCCTTCTTCCCTTTTTTCCTTTTCCTTCTCCCCCTTTTTTTCCCTCTCTTCTTCTTTCGTGGCGCCCCCCCCCCTAAGGCTGGCGCCCGTGGTCGCCGCACGCCCTGCACCTGCCCTAAGTACGGGCCTGCGCGTAGCTCAATATTTTCTCAGGATTTATTTTTTCAACAGGGAACTAAACATCATAAAGCCTTGGCATTTTCCTCGCGTTTTCCTCAGAAATAAACGGGTAAACTCACATTGTTTTAGTATACAGGAACAACATGTTTAGTTTTCTGTTGGAAATACAACGCATATAATAAGTGATGAAGTAACGTAATGCAGTTAGGGGAGTCCCAGTTTGATACGTTCAATCATTCTGCAATCGTCAATCATGTTCAGATGAGATCGGATTTGTCATTGCTTGATGAATTTTAGAGCTACATTAAATCACAGCTGCCTTAAAATTACGTACTAAGAATTAAAAAAAAAGACATAAATGAATGAGACCATTGGCGGATCCAGCAAGTTGGCAACGTTGTCTTTTCTCCATTTAAACCTATGGAAATGTACCGATTCCTGGAGGGACCAGGTGCTCCGACAAGAATCGATTATTTAGCATAGGTTTAAATGGAGGAAATCCGGTGTTGCCAAATTGCTGAATCCGCTTCTGAATGAGACAATTATTTGTGAAAACTTTTGGAGGCGTAAATATACCAACCTGGAGTTCGAGGAAAAGTTGAAGCATAGAGAGGATAGTTGACTTGCCAAAACCTTGCGGGGCAAGCACCATCAAATGTTTTGGCTCCCTCATGAAATATTTAATGAACATTGTTTTGTCCGTAAAATAGGGAGAGTAGACTGTTTCAGAGAAGTTACTCTCCATCACACGAATCAACTGCTGTTTAGTTGTCTGGAAACATTAAAGCGAACGGCAAAGTTTTGAAATCTTGCAGTTTTAGCCGCTCCGATAAAAGAAAAGAAAAAAAAAGAAAGAAAAAATTGTCGTGACTTTAATCAAGAACCCCACAATATTTACAGAGGTGGAATGAATAAATTATGTGAGCGACACAATGAATGGGACTGCTGCAAAGAACTATATTGCCTATAGCTTTCAAGCCGCTCACATCGTCTAATCAAGATATTGAAGGCACGTTATGGCTAGTTAAAAGGCGCCACGTTTTGCGTCTAACGATACCTCTCTCTTGAAAAACATTCAAGAGGAAAAAAGTCAGCCGAAAATGGAATTCTGCCTGGGTTCGGAGACGCCTCATCCTTTCTAATTTTTTAATCGTCAGTTTTCATTGCTCTGTTCTTTTTCTAGCACCCATAAAAGCTGAGGGCTGCATGCGATGCACCCTCTGCAAGCTTTCTCAAGCCCAGCCTTGAGAAGTGACTTCATGCATAAAGCTCACACTGGGAAAAAAAAAACACATTGGATCTAGAGTCCATACTCTTGAAAACATTGACAAGAAAAAATACTCTTGATTCAATCGGATTTTTGCTTGAATCAAAACGAAAGCCGCTTAAATTAAGAGGCTTAGTTCTTGATTTAAGCTACATTCTGATTGAATCAAGAGTACTTTTTCTTGTCGACGTTTTCAAGAGTCTGGACTCTAGATCCAATGTGTGTGTTTTTTTTTTTTTTTCAGTGCCTTCGTAATGAATTGTCACCTCCGCTTATCGAGTGACACAAAATGCTCGGGTTGGAAGTTAAACTATCGAAACTGCGTTTGCAAAACAGGACAAGCCCAGAACTTACATCAAACACAGCAGCTAGGACACAGAAGCAAGTAAATCGACCCATCGTTGATGATTTCATCCCGCGATGTTAGACCTTGGGTTATTAATTTGGAGCGCGAATTGAAGAATAGCGTAAAATGATTTAAAGAGCATTCATATTTTAGAATAATACCGCACGACGTCTTTAAAAAATATGCAGAAATTACGCACAAAAAACTTGCAGCGAAGAAAAAGTGCAACGTGCCGCACATGAGACACGGGTCTCGATGGAAGGACCCAAAATGACGTGTCGTCGAAGCTTATATACTCGAGTAGATAACATCAAAATATAAAGCTTTGGAGTTGTATAATCGCAGTATCAAGAGATAATTAACAGTTAATGCTCATTGTACACTGGTGATATGAAACAAGTTAACTGAAAATGAGTCATAATTTGAATTTTGGTAGAGAGAGACTATATTGAGTGCGACTGGAACAGAGAATGAGACGAAGGAAATTCATGTTGGACTAATCCCCTGATGTGTCCTGAAATGTAGACGTTTTCTGAACGGGTATTTTCAGGTTTTCGGATTTTTGGACCCCGAGGCACAGTCTGTAGAGAACATTCATCCTCCTAAATATAGTCTCCTCATTGAAAAGGAGTCTAGTGGCGGGTAAACCCCTCATGCCCTACAAAACGGCATCCAGGGGAGCCACCCTCGGTATTATTTGAAGCTGTGATTCCATTCAAGGTAAATCTACCTGAAAGTGAACGAGGATCAAGATATCGAACACATTTTGTCGTAAAATACTGGTTTCCCTTAAATGTTTTGGACGGGACAAATCCATCACGTCTTGAGGAAGGTTTCAGGACATTTTTGTCAACGATTTTTTGTCCGCGCACCTTTTTTGTCCAGTAGTTTACGCCCACACTTAAAATAAGCAACAGTGACTTGGTCCAATTGTTATATTTTAGTCGGTTTGTAAAATTAGAGTCCTTTTATACCCAGAGTTAAGACAACTCACTTTTGGTTGGGCCAGGATTGGACTGAAAGTGGCTTAAAAAAAAATCCAATTCTGATTGGTTCTCGCTCATGGAGGCCGAAACGAGTGCACCAAGATGGCGGTACCTCGAATGTGAACAAGAATAATGAAAATATTACCTAATTGTGGTTTATCAAGAGTAAATTGTTATTTCCATCGGTCCAAAATGAAAATAGATTAAGAAATTATTCACAAACCAATCCCATTTTCTTTTTAATTGATCAATTTGTTGATGTTGTTGTTTTTGTGTGACAGACATCGCAGGATTCCTGATCCTTATCCCTCAATATCGTTCGTTTGGGTGCACTCGTTTCGGCCTCCATGGCCAGCCAAGGCCGGCTGCCAGTCAGCTGATAATCGAGTTGTCTTAACTCTGGGTATAAAGGGACTCTATGTAAAATTATATTGACAAAATAAATGAGAAATTGAGAGAGAAGGAGGTGTTGTTATGGTTGCTCATTTTCTAAATGAAATGTTATTACTTTCTCCTTTTGAATCATATTTTTAAATTGTCATTGGTGAATATTTGGTTTTATTTCTATCCTTAAAATATTAAATGTACAATATACCTTATCATGGGTGGCGGTAGCCACCTCCGGACAAAGTCTAAACTCGACAACACTGGAAAGCCTCCAAACGAAAAAAGGTGGCAGCCAACCATAGACACACGTAACTCCCTTATTCTGAAAATTGATTCGACTCGAACTCGACTGCAGCCCAAACGACGGCACGGATTCCTACGATCTTGGTGTCTACGGACGCATCTCAATTAGGACTACAAAGTGGAAGAGTTTCATTAAGATCCATTGAGTTTTCAAAAAGTTATAAGCACTTAAAGGCCCAAAATGACAAATATTTTTTGTAACATGGGCCGTTCAGTAGCGGGAAACCGACATGATCACCTTTCACAACAGATTTCTTGCTTACGCGGCCACGGATTCTAATGAAACCTACAAAGGAACCCGCTTGAAGATATGAGGATTTCATTTCTACCACATTTAATAGGGTTTCAATGCTCGGATAATTCTGGAATAATTTTGGTCTCTTTCTTCAGTTCAAAAGTTGTTTTATTTAAAATCTGCTTTAAAAGGAAATGCTGCTGCTCTATTGCAGAATTTAGAGTTAACAAATGAAAATTATCCAGCAGCGTTAGAAATTTTATCAGAGCATTTTGATAATCAGCGAGTCATTGTGGATAAGCACGTCAGTTTTCCAGTTAATTTGCCAGACGTGTGTACAGAAGAGTCAACTCGTAAATTAATTATTCAAGTTCAACAGGCTTGTCATGCATTAGATGCATTAAAGGTAGAAACGAAAACTTGGGATCCGATTTTGATTTTCTTAATTACTAGTAAATTTGACAAAGAGACTTTGAGTGAATGGGAAAAAGTGGCTCCCAAAAAAGAATGCCCAACTAAGAGCCAATTGTTTGATTTTTTGGAAAGACGGTGTCAGGTATTGCGAGCGTTGACTGTGTCAACATTGCCAAATGATCAGCGAGAGCAAGGTAAGAGTCTTAAAAATTCCACAAAAATCGGAAATAGCTTTCGATGTCCTCTTTGCAATCAAGCACACAAAATTTATCTGTGTCCTGAATTTTTGTCTATGCCTGTCAGAAGTAGAATTGTTAAAGCAAAAAATCTTGGATTATGCCTAAATTGTCTGAGAATACATGAGGAAAAATGTTCTTCAGTCAGAACATGTTACGAGTGCTCCAGAAAGCACCATACTTCTTTGCATTTACCACAGTCTACAAATCAAGAAGTAGTTCTCTACTCCAAGTCCAAGTCATCCTGACTATCCACTGCTTGTGTCCGCCTTATCGGTTCCGACGGACGTACAGAAATCTGCCGCTCGCTATTAGATTGTGGCAGCAGTGCTAATTTTATTTCACAGGATTTAGCAGCCACTTTAAAGTACACAGTAGAATCGATACAGGGAATAAAAATTATAGGTGTAGGAACATCAATCTCGAAATTTCGTACTGTTATCACAGTGCAATCTTTGAACTCGAACTTTTCTTTTGAAGCAACTTGTGCAGTGTTACCAAGTCTGCCACTAATTATTCCAGATAAAACGTTTCCAAAGTTCGATATTACTTCATCCAAGGTAGATTCGAAATTGGCCGACCCTATTTATTTTCAACGAGGCGAAGTACATGTTATTTTCGGTGCATCAATTTTTTGGAGTTTATTGAAATTCAAAAAATATTCATTAGGCCCTGAACTCCCAATTTTGCAAAAACGAAATTAGGATGGATTTTGACACCTGTTAATAATTTGTCTCTATCTCCTTATCAACATAAGTATAAAAATGATAGTAAACAAACAGAAATAGGTATGTTTCAATGCCACTCATAACAGTCAGCTAAACAAACGCATGAAGCTGAGATATTATTTAGGTCATCCCTAAAGATCGACACAGATGGAAGATTTTTGGTGAAACTACCTTTGAAAGATTCTCCAGCAATTTTAGGTGATTCGTATGGCTCAGCACTTAGACGTTTATTTTCTCTCGAAAGAAAATTATCAATTCATCCGCAGCTACGAAAACAATATAATGAGTTCATGCACGAATACTTAGAATTGGGGCATAAATGTCTCCAGTTAGTAGGGTGAAAATGGCGACTTTACCACAGTAAATTATCCAACAGCGTTGCATGATTGTGCAGAAAAATATGAATTAAATTACAGCGTTGTATAGGGATTATTGTTCAATGTGGCAACGCTGCAAAAAGAAAGTATTGCATGTTGCCCCTTCAATATGTGGGTTATGCAAT